AGCTGCACTTGGCAGTGGTCCATGCAATGCAAGCAGAGCCATGTGCAAAAACCTTTATTGATCTTTCAGGATCTCTACACTCATTTTTCCACCATCATTATGTTTCACAGAACTATGATGTTCCCTCCCTGAAACGACTGTTGGAGATCAGGTGGACAAGCCACCATGATGTGACCAAGTGCCTTGTGGAGAATCAGGATGCTATTATGAGTATCCTGTCAGAGGTTACAGAGGACAGAGCTGCTGCTGTTTATGTCTGTACAGAGGGATCAGGACTGTTGATGATGTTAAGGAGGCACAATTTCTGTGAAATACGAAAATTCCTCCTAAATGTTCTGGGTTCCTTGAAGTCTGCAAATTCTATGCTGCAGGCTCATTTTGTTGACCTGTGCTGTGCTTCAGAAGTAGTCAGTGCATCTCCGCAGGCTTTGAAGCAGATGAGAGAGGAGGAAAGTGAGACATTACAGTTTTTCTCAGTTGCTTTGGTGCATTTCTCACAACAGAATTAAACTTTGCACAACAGTTTGTTCAACCTCCACAACATGTAGTCGTTTTGGCACAACCTAGTGGTGGTTTCATGTTCATTTCATCCAAAGGCAAATGCCTTTGGACATGAAGCAGTTGAGTAAGTACAAATATCTAAAGAATGGTCACTTTTGACTTGCTATTCATCACTGTCTCCTTGCTTTTATCATGAATGTCACAATTATTTATACTTGTACCGGCTGAATAGTCATTGTCCTTACAACTAATAGTCTTCATTTGATTGCTTGTGTCATTGCACTAAAAACTGTTGAACATCTTCTCAAACAATCTGTACACCCATTTTGAAAACCCTATTTTAAGAACTTTCCATGGAAATCTCCATAAATGACTTTTCTCAGGTGAACCTTATCTCACACTAATGAAAACTGGTGTGTGTCCTGGTGACAATCGGACAATGTATGTAGTGGTTTGGGATAATGTTAGCTTCCATCACTCTGCTGTAGTCAGGCAGTGGTTTGCAGCACACGACAGGCTGCTTATGGAGTTTCTTCCTCCTTACACTCCATTCCTACATCCAATTGAGGAGTTTTTCCTCTTCCTGGAGGTGGAAGGTATATGACAGGCATCCACATACCCAAATGACCCTGCTAGCAGCTATTGGTGCAGCTTGTGATGACATCACAGCAGAGTGCTGCAGAGGGTGGATTCGACACTCCAGAAGTTACTTTCCCCGATGCATCGATAGAGCTGACATTCCCTGTGATGTTGATGAAAATATGTGGGCAGACAGACGGGAGCGTCTAGATATCAATGACTGATACGCAGCAGTGTCTGTTCAGTTTATTTTTTTGTTTTGTTTCATAACTACTGCATATCAAATCAAATCAACTTTATTTTAATAGCACTTTTCATACAAAAAAATGCAACAAAGTGCTTCACAGATTAAAATGGCCCCATAGATCCCATATTCCCATCCTAGCCCCCCTCCCCAAGTATAAAACAATGGACAATTACACTTCCTCTCCCGCAACCAATTTCCAAGGTGAACGTACACTCACCCACACACTCGCTCGTACACACACACACACACACACACACACACACACACACACACACACACACACACACACGCGCGCGTGACCAACAGAGTAAACAATAGGCTGAGTTCAGTTCAGATGGGTCAGGTAATGAACGACACATCATCAGCAGAGCCATCTGCCTCGACAGCAACAGATCCACGGCAGCAGCCAAGACACCGGCCCATGACGCCCGGGGAGGGGCAGTAAGGTTTACTGTCTAAGTGAGTTTGTGTTTGCTGTAAAATGTTTGTTTTACTGTATTTCCCCAGTTGCACAATGCTGTGAACAGTTTCAGTTAAATATTTTCAAGAGTGCATATGAAGTGTCTTGATTTTCCTTTACAATTTATGGTTTTCAACATGCCATGCAGGCTGTCCAGACTTGACATGTCATTGGGAAGCACCTACAAAGAAATCCGTCACAACAAGAACATGTTCAAACCATTTGATTTGGTGACCAAAGGTGCTGGTGTAATGACTTGTAATTGTGACAGCCCTGACACTTTGATTGATATGATTAGCACCTGCACCAGCTGCTAAAAGACAAACAAAAACAAGCTCACTGCTAACAGGTACTGTTGTAATGTCCACTGTGAGCCACGCAGAAGACTCCACCCTCCTAGCCAGGCTCTGAAGAGAGCTCTTCTCAACATTTTGGACATAGTCATTGTAGAGATGGAGACAAGATTCTCCAAAAGCAATCTCCATCTCATGAACGCAGTTAACTGCCTTCAACCTCAGTCTCCCTTTTTTCTGGATCCTGACATGTTAAGTCCTTTGCAGAAAATGACCGGAAGTGACAGTGACAAACTTTCCAAGGAGATTCTTTTTGCAAAAATAATGTTGGAGAAAGAATTCAAAAAGACTGATGATGATAACAGTGAAGAATTTGTAGACCTCTCCATTGTTTGCACATATCTACATGGGCATAAGAATGCCTTTCCTCAGCTCCATCGCATGTACAGCGGGGCAAAAAAGTATTTAGTCAGCCACCGATTGTGCAAGTTCTCCCACTTAAATTGATGACAGAGGTCAGTAATTTTCATCATAGGTACACTTCAACTGTGAGAGACAGAATGTGAAAAAAAAATCCATGAATTCACATGGCAGGATTTTTAAAGAATTTATTTGTAGATTTGGCTAAATCCTGCCCTGCTATAAAATTGAAATACTTCTTTAGCATTTTTTTGAGTCTGTACATTCTTTGTCCTCAGTTATGAGGGATGAGATAAAAGTTTTACCTTGTCTTTGTTTTTCTAACCTGCAGAAGTACGCTGTACTTCTTTCCCCCTCCTCCATCTATCTGGCTCTTGACCGAATATAAGCTCCTTGAGCTTTCTGTAAATAATCTTCATCCAATTCATTTTGTGTTTTGGCTAAGTTAATTATGTCTTCTTCACACCAATCAATTTGACCATTTACATCAAGAATGATTTGAATGAGATTTGACTCCTTCTCATTTTTTTGTCTTTTTAATTTTTTGCTAAAGAAAATAGTGTTTTCTAATCGAAAAGTTTAGAAATTCCCATTTTTGTACAGCTGTTTGAAGATTATTATCTTTTTTAGTGTCCCTTATAATTTTCTTTATGTCTTCATAATATTCCCTATTTTCTAGTAGACTATGATTCAATTTCCAGTAATCTCCAATATTTTTTTCTTCTTGTAAACATGTTATGTTTAAATTAACTACACAGTGATCTGTTAAAGGACTACTTGATATTGTTGAAGAAGAAGAAGAAGAAGAAGAAGAAGAAGAAGAAGAAGAAGAAGAAGAAGAAGAAGAAGAAGAAGAAGAAGAAGAAGAAGAAGAAGAAGAAGAAGAAGAAGAAGAAAGGTTTAAACTTTATTGATTTCGGTGCTCTTAACCACACCTTTAAAATAAACTGGATTAAAAAGTATTTAAAAAATCCCACTTCTATCTGGAATTTTATCTCACATCATGTATTTTCTAATTTAGGTGGCCTTAACTTCCTACTGCTCTGCAATTACAGTATTCCCAAAATACCACTAAAACTTTCTCACTTCCATCAACAAATTCTTTTGGCATGGGCACTGATTTACAAACACAACTTCTCCCCACAAAACTGTTTTATTTGGAATAACTGCAATATTATTTATAAAAATAAAACTATTTTTAATAACTGGTTTAATAATGGAATCATCTTGGTTAGCCAGTTATTTGATGAAAAAGGGCTTTTATACAATTACTCTGAATTCCTTAGGAAATACAATATACCAATAACACCTAGAGAATTCTCAATAGTGTTTGATGCCATCCCATCCGATCTGTCCATGTTGTTCAGATGCTCACACAGCGCTCCACTATCAGTCAGTCGCCCGGATGTGTTACATTCTTCTCTTGGCAACGTTTGTTTTTCCTCGCATAAGTCGGTGAATAACAAAATAAGAACTCTCTTTCAGGATAAAATGATTTCTGTTCCATCAACCATATCTTATTGGGCTAATTTTGTAACAGATGTTGAATGGAAAAAAGTTTGGACCTTACCACAAAAATTTCTTTTAATGAACAAAGTTAAAGAGATTATTTAAATTGATTCACAAGTTTTACCCTACCAAACAATATTTGTCAAAATTTATAGCTGATATAAATGTAAATTGTACCTTTTGTCAAGAGCAACCTGAAACAGCTTCTCACTTGTTCTGGTCATGTAAATTTACAAGTAAATTCTGGAAGGACTTCCACAAGTTTATTAATGACTCTGTTCTCCCTAACTTTCAACTATACTACAAAGATGTTATTTTTGCTCTTCATAATTTTAATAAGAAGGACAACGATGCTTTCTTCTTCGTGAATATGATTTTATTTTTGGCCAAATTTCACATACACAAAAGCAAAGTGCTTGGCAGAAAACCTGAACTTCTTGTATTAAAAATGGAACTTGAACAATATATAAGGACAATCTCCTCATCAAAAACACCAAGGCTCTTAAGTCTGTTAACATTTGTAACCATCTGAAACTGCTCAATTGACTTAACCTCTTCCAGACCTTTCTTTTTCTTTTTTTTTTTCTTTTTTTCTCCATGTCTCCATCATTTCTGTCGTTCTTCATTGTAATACCACAATGGTATACTTTGTGTGTTCCATGTCTTACTATTGTATGTTCAAAATGTGCTAAACAAAGTTATATTAAAAAAAAAAGAAGAAGAAGAAGAAGAAGAAGAAGAAGAAGAGAATAAGAAGAAGAAGAAGAGAGTAAGAAGATAAATCTTATAAATCTGGTTGTTTCTGCTGATTAGAATATTTCTAATGGTCTAGTTATAAGGTTTTGGTTTATCTACTGAGTTGTTCTTTTTTTTTTTTTGAGTTTTGGTTGTTGTTACTATGTATGTGATTGATGTTCACTAATAAAAAATAAAAAAAAAAGAAGAAGAAGAATGTCCGTCTGTAATTTCTTCAGTGTGCTTTGCTGCCGCGTGGTGGCAAAAGTGCGAACTGCAGCATCACAGAGCAAAACAGCCGGAGCTGGGAGCGGATTCGAGTCTGCTGTGACTCGTAGTAACGTCTCAGACCAAGATGCCAGATGCTCTGGAGCGTCGGTCGTGTTTGCTGGTTTTAGCATTGATTTTCCACCTAAGCAGAGCAGCAGAGGTTTCTGTGTGGAGCGTGAACATCAACTCGGTCAGTGTTGTTCCTTCACCGTCTGCCTCCTTTCAGATACCGTGTTGTGCTAATTCTCCAGCAGCTGGTAGCTGAGGCAGCTAGCTGGCACCTAGCCATCCTGTCCGCTGGAGGGTCCAGTTGTCAGGACGCTTTCTTTGCTTCCTTCTCTTTTATTACCCCGTCCTGGAATTTCCACCTGCCTTCTGACTGCTGGTATTATTTCATTTTAGACAGACACTCTGACGCAACCTGCAGGTAATCCTCTGCAGTAAACCCAAACTTAGAGGCATGCTTAACAAGAAAAGCAGAAATTTAAAGGACACTAGGCCCTGGTGTCATGTGGTTAGGTCAAGAAAAAGGTTGTTTAACCGGTTATTATAACCTCAGAGGAGATTAGCAGCTGTTCAAAAAGTGGCTGCTGTTCGGCAAAACACCTGTCTGATGAAGACTTAGTTTTAAAAGGTAAAGCTTAGAGGATGAACATGTTTATAAAGTTTAATTTAAAGATGATACGCAACATTTGATCATATATTGATTTTTACATCTACATTCTGTCACATTTAGGTTGTGCCTTTGAGTTATTTGATCCAAATGTATAAAGATGTATCTAAGAATTAAATCTAAATATTCAAAATCAAAGCTGAGTGTATAAATTGACGTACGTGTTTATTTCTGTTTATGTGTTTACCAGATGCTTTTATCCAAAGTGACATACAATTTAACCTGACATGCATGTTTTTGGTCTGTGGGTGGAAACCAGAGCACCTGGAGAAGACACGCATGCAGCCGGGACTCAGACCTGCAACCTTCCAACTACACCACCATGCAGTCCATAAATCTAAATGGAAATAGGATAATAATGTAGCTTTCATTCAGAATGAGACCACAGCAAAAAGGAAGTAGCTAAACAAAATAAAAGCAGGATGAAGAAGTATCCTATCTCTTGACTGTGTGAGTCCATTTAACCATATGTGTTCCTGTCGGGTTAACCATACCACGGGATCCCTTCACCTGACTGTAATTTTGTTAGACTGGATCACCATATGGGGAGAACCAGACAGGAACAGGGAGCTATGGTTGAGCAGACACACGCAATCTTACTATTCAGATAGGAGAGCTCTTCATCCTGATTTTATTTTGGTAGGCTACTTCCCATTTCCTCCAGTCTAATTTTGCACCGAAACCCTCCCATTTATATTTAGATTTCTACATTTAGATCTTTTTTGATATTTGGACTAAGCTTAATTTATTTAGATTTAATTCTGAATATTTGCTGTATTTAAGATGATTACGACAAGCCAAGTGTGATCAAACGTAGGTGTTGTGAATGCATTAATTTACAACCGGTAATCCATATAACAGGATGAATAGATGTGTTTGAGTGAGAGTAAGAAGTAAATGCTTGTGTGTGTGTGATCTCATCACCAGCAGACGTTTTTCTCTTTACTGGCAGATTCAGCCTGTGGATGGATCTTCATTATTATTATTATTATTGTTTAGTAATATTATTATTGTAAATTAAAGCAACAACCCTGGGAGGAGCAGAGCTGCATCCTGGTTGCTGATGACATCACGTCACTGACAGGAATTGACTGGTTTTTTTTTTGTTTTGTTTTTTTTATATTAGCAATATTTTTTTATTTCAAAATCATTTGAGGTTTACAGAAAAAGTAGCGACTGTTAATAATCATTATGACCCAATAATGCCAGCAACAGTTAAATTGATTTACCAAAACAAAATAATCAATGAAGCTATTAAATAATGAATCAACAGTTAAATATAAACATTAAACACTAATAAAACAACTAAACAATCCGGTCAGTGGAAAAAGATTTTAGAACCGTTTTGCTTTTTAATTGATCAGATTAAATAAACGGTTAGTGTAACTCATCAAAATTACCAGATTACTAGACTACAGGTTTCAGTAGAAATGTGAATATTAGAAATAGTGAATAAATGTGTAAAACAGTTATAATACTGTAAAAAAATGGTTAATTCCTAATAAAACCAGAACCTTTAACAGTATAAACAGTGAGATGGTGTGATGTCACTCCTCAGCTCGTCAGACGGCCTTATAAAACAAACATGGCTATCAAATCCATCTGCAGCACACACTTTATTCAGTAATAATTAAAATCTTATTTTGATGAATTTATGAATCAACGAATGGGATTATTATTACATATGACAGAAAACTTGTTTTCATTTTGCAAAACAACTTTTTAAAGTCTCCAGGATAAACAGGAAGTGACTGTTTTTCTCTGTGTTTTCAGACTCAAGATGCCGTGTTTAGGAAGACGCTGTATGCCAACACCACCATCTATATGAGGTGTAAGTAGGCTGGCATCTTGTTTCTGCCTCTGATGAGTAAATCCTAGTGATGCTGAAGATTCTAGAGGTGTGTAACGGCAAGAATCTGGTGATGTATAATCCCGATATTGGCGTGGAGGGGTGGTACAGTATGTCGCGATACTAAAATCCAGATTATATTTGCCATTTTTAAGACTGAGTTTTGTTGGGAAGCTCACGCCAGACACTTCCAAAACACATCCAGTGTTTTTGTTGTTCCATCAGAATGAATAAACATTGCTGCCACCTAGCAGTCGGAGTTTGAATTGCACCACACAAAAGAATTAAAAGTTTGCATGTGAATATCGATACGCTGCTTTTAAAGGCATACTATGTAACTTTTTCATATTTTTAAAAATAATTTTCTTCAGCCAGTATATGCTAAATCGATCGGAGTTAATAAATTGTCATTAACCCTAACATTTAATTTTTAATTATCTAAAATAGTTTATTTAGACATATGTGTGTTTATGAGCCATGAAAATGTAGTCAAAGGTTTAAAAGAAATGACTAATAAATGGCAGAGTAATTCTCTGACTGGAAAAAGCAAGCTTCAAACCAGGAGAAGGCACAAGAAGATGGCTCAGCGTCCTGCTGACCTTTCCTCTGAAATAAGTCAAAGTTAATCCAGCATGCTTTGAAGTCAGGTTATAATGAGACAGCTATTATTTTAGACCATTTCAGATGTTTTATAGGTCTGAAAGATTGACACACTGACCTCCTCAGACAAGGAAGTGCCTCTTGGGTCAGTTCATGTGTGTGCACAATAATATGTAAACTACCTGATGTTATTGTGCACACACACATAAACTGGCTCGAGAAGCGTTTCCTTGTCCGGTGAATGCTGAGAGTTGTGGTCCGACTTGTTCAGTGAATTTTTTGTCCTTCATCGTAGTTTATGGTGCATTCAAAACCACACATTTTGACAGGCATGTCAATAGAGTTGTGCAATTAAATTTCTAAATGATTTAAAACCATTTTTATTAGGAGGATTTTAAAGAGGCTGTAAGCTAGCTAAGTAAAACCACAATGCTAAGCAGCATTTTTGCCCTTGATGTAATATGAACAAATTCAAATGCAAGTCTGGCGATGCAACTAAATCATTCTATTCTTCTTACCGAACACTATTCTCTTTTCATATCTATGTTCACAACAGCTTGTAATGGCTAACGTAGCTTAGCTCACACAGAAGTTAGCGTGTGCTAACACAGAACTGGGGACAGTGTATCAATCTGTCATCCCTATAAAACGTCTGAAGTAATAGCTGTCTCATTATAACCAGACTGCAACATGTGCAGGTTTAACTTTTTCTTCAGAGGAAAGATCACCATAGGGAGCCTAAGTCTCCTCCCCTTCCGGTCGGCTCATGAGTCCCCAGAAGAACGAAAAAACGAATGCAAGTCAACGGGGCTAAAAGAGCTATTTTCTAATCCGCTTTGCCTGACGCCCTGGATCACACATGTGTTGTACTGCAATTTAAATGTAAACTAATGATGGGTGTTTCGACCACGCCAGTCACGCACTTTGAGATTTGTCAGCTTCTAAAAGTTCATAATTAGCATGACTACATCAGCACGTCACATATATGATGTCACCACATAATGTCCTCTCCGCTAGCGTAGCTGCTACTTACCAAATGACCAGATTTATGGTTCTTTCCTCCTGAAGGAAGGATTTGAAGTTTGCTGAACTTACAGCCATTTTCCCTCAGTTTTTCTCTGTGTCTGGCGCTATGACGTCACTTTCGTGAAGCGCATTTGTAGTCCTGGACTTATTTTCACACTAAACCCAAAATAGCGTTTCCCCCTGTTCGAAACTAAGCGAGTTCTTGGTATCAAAATGTGTCTTTAAAATTCAGGGACATCATATGTGAAATCCATGGCACATAACAAGTGGAACTAGAAAAGAGCGTTGTAGCACCATTGACTAGCATTCATTTTTTCATTCTTCCGGGGTCCGAAAGTAGATGGGTGTGACTTAGGCGTCCTCTGACTCCGTACCATCTTCTCATGCCTTCTCTCCTTTTGAACCCTGCTTTTTGAACCCTGCTTTTTTTTTAGTCAGAGAATTACTCTGCCATTTATTAGTCATTTCTTTTAAACCTTTGACTACGCTTTCATGGCTCACAAACGCACATGTCTAACTAAACAATTTTAGATGATGAAAAATTAAATGTAGGTCTATCTTTAATAACTACAGGATCCTGAGATACTCTATTTTTCCACAGAAAAACATATTTGTCTCGTCAACACAAGTTTAGACTAAATCCAAAGGAAATTTGAATTTCCCAGCTTCTCCCCAGCATTGGCGTCATTTTAACCGGGGACGCCGGGGACATGTCCCCGGCAAAATTTGTGATTGGCAGCTGTGTCCCCCCCACTTTCAAAAATGCCTGCTGATGAGGATTTTTGTTTTACCAGCTCAGATCTTATCCAGGGGTCGGCAATCTGTTCCCATCAAAGAGCCATTATTACCCATTTCCCACAGTAATTCTGGACGGACCTTAATAAGCAGTGACTTAAGTGAAGCAGGCAGGTCGCGCTAGAAAATTTAGTTTAAAAAGACGTCATAAATGTGTTCCCCCGTCCTTTTTATTTATAAAATATGAAGTAAAAACTCACAATTTAATTTTCATTCATTTGTCATTAATATGTAGTCTACACCCGTGCGTTAAGTGGACCATCTTCCAGTAAACGCAAAGCATCCAGCCCACCTCTCCAAATGCGTAAAATGTGCATCAGCCGCTAGTTAGGCGCGCCGCGCGCACCGTCAGCTACGTCAGCCCAGACAAGAGCAGAGCAACTAGAGAAAGAATAGAGGATAATTGTGTCTGGATGTGGATGGAGATTACATTTTACAGCAGCCTGATCATCATTTAAATACGTAACCCATCACCTGTCTTCTAGTCCACGCTATCAGCATTATTTTAATTGGTGTGTGTGTGTGTGTGTGTGTGTGTGTGTGTGTGTGTGTGTGTGTTTTCCACTTCAAACACTGGTCTAACCAACCAGACCAGTGTGTCCAGTAACATATTAATGTTACAATTAAACAGTTTCACTTCATGTAGGCTAGGAACGTTTCACCTGCCGTGGCCCGACTGCTTCTGCTCCACATAAACTTTGTGCGTGATCAAATGTCTCTACGCATCATGCGTCTCCATATTAGAGACGGGAACAAGCGCTGTTCAGCCTAAGTTTCATAATTTCATAAAAAGAACATTTTTCCAAGTGACACATCCCTCAGAGAGACCGGGTTTCCAGACTGTTTCAGTGGGAGGAAATCATCGCATGCACCGTGGTTCTGCGCTGCGAACCCCTCAGATCTTCAGCTCACTGTCCACCGTGGGCGCTCCGAGCCACGCTGAACCAGTATAAAGCTCTGATGTTCTGATGGGAATATTTTACCTCCGCAATGTGCGTCAACGATTAAAATGTCAGCTCATCCATGCGCATCCGTGTGCATCGGGGTAATTCTTTCAAACCAACCAACATCCTTGAGTTCATCTGTCAAAATAAAAAGTCAAATGGAAACATCTGTAACCTGCCATTTAACTGTTTTGCCTTCTTGTGAAGATTGTTGCAAAGAGAAACAATTAAACGTGATTAACCCCAGAGCCACCCAGAGTGCATGTGGAAGGTTCCTCCCACTGAAGCAAGTGTTTTCCAAACCCTGTCTCTCAGAGAGACTTGTCACTTACAAAATGTTCCCTGATTATGAAACTTTGGCTGAATAGCGCTTGTTCCCGTCTCCAATGTGGCGACACATCCAGGAGCCGTCTGAGGAGAATCCCAGAATCTGACATCCTCCAGCTCAGGAAGCGCCTATGATTACGCACAAGCATGACGCGTCAACCCGGTCTCACAGTAAGACCGGGTTGGACCTGTTCAGGTTTACGCAGACAATCTTTACATTTAGAATTGGCATAAAGATGTAAAATTAATGCAGTAAAATATAAAGCATTTTATTTAAATATCCATTCATTATTTTACAAACACAGAGAGCCGCCGACCCCTGTGCTAGCCTACTTTATTGTCCCCAGCAATTTTTAAACCCCACTCAAGTGTATGGTTATTGTCCCCAGCAATTCTGAAAACAAACTGACGCCCTTGCTCCCCAGCATTCAAACGCACCATGTACGCACAAATTAATCAGGTGTGAAAAGAGTCTCAAAAGGATTTTTGTACTTGTAAACTGATCTGTGTGTAATACAGTTTTGTCCGTGTTTACCAGGTGTTTTGTGTGTGTGTGTGTGTGTGTGTGTGTGTGTGTGTGTGTGTGTGTGTGTGTGTGTGTGTGTGTGTGTGTGTGTGTGTGTGTGTGTGTGTGTGTGTGTGTGTGTGTGTGTGTATTCAATGATTTGTACGTGTAAAAACTGAAGTTACATACGAAAATGTAAACACAAGTTACAAATCAAGAGTTACACACACACACACACACACACGCACACACACGCACGCACGCACGCACACACACACACACACACACACACACACAAGTCTAGATACACACGCACAAATCTTTTGAATCTTTTTTCTCCCCATACTGGTCCGATCCCTGTTGGACTTAGTAAAGTGAAGCTGACATGCCTGCTGCTGGAGTCTGGTTTCAGCACATTTCCTGCATGTTTTAGATCGTGAACACAGCTGATTTGTTTTATTTAGTGATGAATCACCCCTCTAGACAGGAAGGCTGAGGAGACATTTAAGATGTGAGGTGTTAAAAAGACAAACGCACAGTGAGGAGAGTTTCACCTTCGCTTTTACTAACAAACACTAGGGGGTGCTAGAAGCAAGACACAACTGCATAGCATTCCTATGATACATATTCATATTGATACTGTATTATAACACAAAATATCGTGATATTTCACATTTTCCTACATCTGTAGGAGATTCTTTTGCTTTGTTTGACAGAAAATGTCACTTCAGTCTTTGTGTCTGTTTATCAGAGAGTTATTTATTTATTTATAAATGATAAATCTAGTCATAAGTCTGTGTTATTAGGGTAAAACGTTCTGGCTCAGTGAAAACCTGCTGGCCTCTGACAGTTCTCATCCCATTTCTCTGCAGTCCAGAATGATTCGGGTTCATGTGAGAGAAACCTGGCCTTCAACATCAGCTGGTACCTGCGCTCATCGGTGTGCTACAACGAGGTCTTCAACACACCAGTGAGCTTTACTTCTATTTGTACAAATCTTTCATTCTGCTTTGATTTCACCCTCAGAGGGGAGGATTATGGGTAATAATTCAACCAGTGGAGAACTTAATCCCAGAGCTCCAGCCCTGAGGGACACCAGCGTTGAGGTCAGTCACAGCTGCTAGCATCGGGCTTTCTTAGCTTTGAGCTCTGCTGATATTTGCCTCCAGCTCTGGCTCTTTGTCCAGATGCTCTTCAGACTCAGCTGAACGCTTCAGGTGAGTCGCAAAGAGATAACCAGGTCACCTGCAGCACAACAGGGATGTTTTGTTCAGGTGTGTTTCAAAGTTTGTTTTTTTTGCCTTGAATAGGCATTATGATACCAAATGTGTCTAAACATGACTTGAACTCTGCTCTGAAAGGACCTGAGCTCATGAACACTGATAACAGTGGTCCATAAAGTCACTTTGTCCTATTGACTGAGTAAAACTGCAAGCTCTGATTGTGATTTCAGTAGAACTGGTTTCTATGTATGTCTGCAGATCCGAAGCATCTAAAGAGTCTGTTTTTATTTATTAGTTTAAGCTGAACAGGAGCAGTTCACTCTGATCGTTTACACGTTTGGCTTTACTCTTTATCATATAGCTTGCGTTGAGATTTTCAATTACTTTTATTTATAAAACACCAATTCACAACAAGAGTCGTCTCAAGGCGCTCTACAAAGTCAGCATTCCAAGTGAACCCACTTATCAGTGCACTGGGTTTTTTGATTATCCCAGTTAGTAAAACGTTTCCTAGATTAGGAAGCATGCATCAAGTCACGGACTTGTTGCATCAGAGACTTTACAGAAATTCCCATACAAGCATGTAGCGACAGTGGAGAGGAAAACTCCCCTTCAACAGCAGCAGACCTCCAGCAGAGCCCGGAGATGACCGCTTCAGTCACGTAATAACAAATGGAATGTTATCTAAATGGAATGCAGCCCTCATAAAGACCAGCTGGACGATACAGAAAAAAAGCGTATCGATAAAAAAAATCATATTGATCGATATTGATAATTATGGAAAACTATTATGAAAAGTGTTGGAAATATATTTGAAGTGCAGCCCTGGCCCTCTTAGGCCCTCTTAGGCCGTTACTTTATGATGAAACAAGTTCCCAGACTTGTTTTTTATCCATTCTCTGTTGTAAACCACCGTTGCTTGTTTTGTGTCAGACTTGTAAGAATGAACATATCGCCACGCTGGTGAAGTACTGTGATCTTATTTGGGGACGGTTTCTTCCACCTCTCCTTGCTGCAACATCACTGCTGTCTGTGTAGGTTAGAGAGGGAAGGGCTCGGCGACGGAGCGTGCTTGGGTCTGTGTTTTCGATTGGTTGGGTCTAAGTAATTACTCTAAAGTAATTACTCTAGTATGAAGCTACCCAGTAGGCGATAATGAAAAAAGGAAACTTTTTAAAGTTTTTTCTGTTCAACCACATGTGTGTTGATCGATATTTATTGTTATTGAATTATTGTCCAGCCCTAGAAGGTGCCAGTAAATATCTTCTACAAACGCACCAGAGGCTGGTTAGTGAGAAGCAGCTCACTGACGCGTCTCCACTCGTTTCTCTGAAGGACAACAAGGCCATGAACATGTTCGGCATGGACCACATGCTGAAGGAGGGATGGAGTGGGTTCTACAGTCAGGGCTTCGTGTTCTTTGAGAACTGCTCGTCCCTCTTCATACCCAAGGTGAAGAAGTCCCCAACACTAGAAAACACAGATATGTCATTTGTTCATGTTTAGGGAGTCTTGGGTAACAAGTTTATGGTCTTGTTTGTTTTAACAGGTTTATTTTCCAGACTTCAACTCTTACCAGCCGCTGTCCAGCCCAAAGGTCTGCAAGTTCCAAACCTGTCTGTTTAATATTCACTGGCTCTTGGTTTTCTCTCAACCTGTGCTGTTGTTCTTCTTCAGAGCGACCCATCGAATCAGACTCTTACTTGGCCCGACAAGCCGGTGAGGCGTGTTTTTACTGCACCGAATAAAATTATTCCTATAATAAAAGCTTTTACTTTTACTGGACGATGAGGACTTCAACATCTTAGAGTCTCAACGAGACAAACGGACTCCCAGAGACCGTAAACCTGCTGCAACGTTTGGAGAAAGCACCTCCATCAGGAGAACACAAATGCTAGCTTAGATAGGAAATGTCCACACACACACACACACACACACACACACACACACACACACACACACACACACACACACACGCACACGCACGCACGCACGCACGCACGCACGCACACACACACAGCTCTCTTCTGCCAGTCATAGGTTCCATCCAACCACCCTAAAAGAGGGCCTGTGTTAGGGTAGGGTTAGAAGCTGAGAAGTGAAGGGTCCTCCCATGAGGACATGCTACTGTAGATCCATTTTTAGACTCAAGCTCAGATTTAAACTGAACTTTCTAGATTTGTTAATAAAAGAACAAAAACGATGCCATCGTTTTTGTTCTTTTATTAACAAATAAAAGAACTTTTATTGTTCTTTTGTTTGAAACCACCGCTTCGACCCTGAGGGTTTTTGTGGTGTCGAAGCAGAGATTAGCCTGATGAGTGTGTTGTCCCTTAAACGTTGTGGGAGTCTGGTTTGTCCTTCTTGTCTCATGCAGCTGTTGACCCCAGTGATCTGTGCCTGTGGTGTCCCTCAGGAAATCAGCGCGGTGGCCAGAGCATGGGAGGACGGTCCCTACCTGTTCATAGTGAAGGTGCAGCCGTTGTTCCGAGGAGTCGAGGATGAAGACTTTGCAGCGGAGCAGCTCAGTTTTGCTTTCACGAGTGAGAAATGACCGAGTGTGTTTCCGCAGGGCAGACCTGTTTGACCTCAGTGACAGATTTGTCCTTGGTTCCCAGTGAAAGTGGAGATGAAGGGCCCACATGACTACTCCTCCCCAGCAGACTGGCCTCTGATGATAGTACGTAGGCTTACATTCAGGGAGCAGAGAGGACTTTTAATCACATTTACATGGTTTTTCTACCTGTCCCAGTTCTTCATGGTCATGTGCATCGTCTACGTGCTGTTCGGAGCGCTCTGGCTCTTCTGGTGCGCTTGTTATTGGAGGGATCTGCTGAGGATCCAGTTTTGGATCGGAGCTGTCATCATCCTTGGCATGCTGGAGAAGGCCGTGTTCTATTCGGAATACCAGAACATCCGTTACAAAGGAGACTACGGTTTGCCTCCTAGACTCCTTTTCTTGTGTCTGATCCGATTTTTTGAGGTAATCGTGTGATGGTGGTGTTGTTTCTCTTGGTAGTTCTGGGTGCTGTGATCTTTGCTGAGCTGCTCTCAGCTCTCAAAAGATCTCTGGCTCGGATCCTGGTCCTTATCGTCAGCCTGGGCTATGGAATAGTCAGGTAGGCTATTTGTTCAGCCCTCACAGCCCAGCGCGCGGCTCACTGCTAACGTGTGTTTGGACTTCCTGTCGCAGACCCAGACTGGGAACCACGGTGCATCGTCTGGTCGCCGTTGGACTTCTCTACCTTCTCTTCTCCTCTGTGGACGGAGTCCTGAGGGTGACTGGTGTAAGTAAATAATTCATTCGTATTTTACACTTGTGAAAACATCGTCAGACAAAGAAGTGGAGGAAAATTATAGTTGGATGTTAACCATTAGGGCTGCAACAACGAATCGAAAAAATACGATGAAAATCGATTACTAAAAGCGTTGGCAACGAATTGCGTCATCGATTCGTTGTGTCGCACAACTCTTCCAAAAGCCCCACCCCACCCCCACCCCCTTCCACCCGCCGTTGCGCGCAGACCGGTGGAGAGCCGGCAGGTGTTTGGAAGAGGAACATGGCAGGAGCAGCAAGGCCCGAAAAAGTAAAAACTTCTTAAGTTTGGAGCATTTTCAGTTAAATCAGGCGAAGACATTCATTACCTGCAACGTTTAGGTCAGACAGCATGGCACAGGAGTACTACAGTGATGATGCAGCATCTTAACGCAAGCATGTCAGAATCATCAGCGAGGAGGAGAGAGCTCAGTGTCCGGGTAAGTTAAAGACTTTTCAAAAGTGATTCACCCAAGCCCTGGATTATTACACACGCTAGACATGCCCTAAGCTCGTAAAAAAAATTAAGTCTATAAAGTCGTGAGCGCGACGCTTATTAGATGAACGGGGGGGGATCTTCCCGTAGACTTGCGCTGCTGCGAACCGGTTCCGCCGTCACTTTCCCGCAGAAACTGGTTGATCACTCCGGGGCCGGACTACTAGCGTGTGGGTTTTACAACCACGATGTCCTCAGAAGCGAAAACGCTTTAAAAGGGAGGGAGGAGTCCTAACTGTTGCTGCAGGCGTGTTGTGTGAGAGTGCAGTTATATACTGGTTAATATATTTTTGGGTTCAGTTGCTTTCATGTGTCCTAATGTGAGTCTATTTGGGATCATTGAATGATCAGCTGCATTTCTTGATGTGACTTTATGGCAGTTGCCAGGGCATCATCGCAAGGAGGATGGCATTCATTTACTTTGTTTTATTTGGTATTTTTTCAGTCATTTTGGAAATAGTGATTAATTTTGACTAATTCACAGCCTATGTTTAATTACATTTAAAAATTAGTTGTTTGACATCCCCAGTTATAATAAATGTTTACAGATTAGATCAAACAAAACAGATGAGAATTGCCCTCAAGCTGTTTAACTTGGGACCAAGCATTTTAGGTCACAGTTAGGTGTAGCTTATGGTCTCTGTCTATACACCTTATAAGACAATTTAGGTGATGGCATGTTGTTTTTCTGCTATTGAACTGTTTTCTAATAATGTTGTGTTTAATAAAGTG